AATTCGCATTCTCCATGTGATGAAAATATTAATTCTTTCACGGTTTATTCACCAGAAAATAACTACTTTCCTGGCTATATGCCACGACGAATATTGAATTACATCTATTGAACACAGACGATAAGAATTTGAAAACAAAATCTTCTGAATGATGAATGTCAATTCATCATACATCCAAAAAACCAATGCCCAAATGACAGGAGAATATGTCAACAAATCATAATAATTCTCAGATGTCAGTCCGTTATAGTTTTAGTTATATTATAGGGAGATGAAAGTTGTGTATATCATGAAGAATGGCTGAAAGAATAACTGGACTTCAGGTTACTGATGAGGATATGATATCCGAAATGAATTCATATAACCTGTTTGTGAGAGATATAATTCCCATACATTTCAATTTTCATTTCAATACTGAACATATCGGTAAGTTATATTTTTATATCATAATACTTCATATTATTATTCTATTCGATTTGAGAGATGATGTAAATTCTAAATTGAGGATTTTTATTTTTCATGCTCTCTTTTTGGATATTCAACAGATAATATAATTCAATGTTCGACGTGGCAAATAGCCAGGAAAGTAGTTGTTTTATGTTGAACGTTCAGAATTATATTATATGCATATCTTTATATGAAGGGGAATGCAAATTCTCTACTTCAGAAGATTTTGTTTTCAAATTCTTATCGTGTGTGTTCAATAGATGTAATTCAATATTCGTCGTGGCATATAGCCAGGAAAGTAGTTGTTTTCTGTTGAATAAACCGAGAAAGAATCAATATTTTCATCACATGGGGAATGCAAATTCTCAATATATTTCTTTATATATACAGGGTGTTTCAGTTTTTTGTAGCAGGACTTTAACAGCTTGAAGAAGACATTTTTTCAAGATGAAAATCTCATACGAACATATATCCGTGGGAGCTTCGTTTCAGATTTACAGGGTGTCAAAGTTTCAAATTTTTCTTATCTTTTGATTTTTCTAGTTTTAATTATGATGGTGTTCAAAAAAATCAATTTAATTTTGCAACTGAATTTCATTTGGTATGGAAGCTTTCGGTCATTCTATTTTCCAATAAAATGTTTAAGAAATGTCAAATAAGTGTGTTTGAGAAATAACGGTTTTATTACAAGTAATTTATTTTTGGCATTTATCTCGAGATCCTTACAGTTCTCGAAAAATTTACATGGGGGCAAAAAGTTTCCAAATTGAAAGGACAATCTGAATCTATGTCCCATTGAAAGAAGAGACGGCACGCAAAAAAGTTTTACAGGGTTAAATTGGGTACGACCCCTGAAAGTCTATCACCCTGTAGGTATTCAAAAATGCTCAATAGCCTGAAATATTGAATTTTTGAAGTGTATTAGGTGTACCAAATTTCAATCAATTATTCCGAGAATTGTATGAGAAAATTAAAAAAACAAAAAAAATCTGAAACTTTGACACCCTGTTAAAGTCCTGCTACAAAAAACTGAAACACCCTGTATATCCATTTTTTGTGTTCATAAATATATCTGAGAATGTTTCTTTTCAATACAAGTCAATAGTCCTCAATTCGAACACTTGCTATTAGTGGGTCTGCCGAGGGGTATGCCAAATTATACGCCGTTTATATTTGGAAATATTAAAACATATATAGTGAGAATTCGGAATTCATCAGACTACAAATTGCTGTGCAGGAATGAAATTGAGTCCATATTTTCAGGCTCACTCCCGTAATCCACACGGCTCGCGAAACCCGCCCGGCGTGCAGAATTTGCACAAACTGCGAAACCTGCAAGGCCCGCGTAACCCGTACAGGGTGCGCCGCTTAAAATTGAAAACCCCCGTTACTTCTTTGTTTTTCAAGATATGAAAAAAATATTGGAATAAAAGTTATGTAAAATTATTCGAATTTTGATTTCAAGATATTGTTTGATATACAGGGTCTCCTATTTATCAGAAATGAATATCAACTCTTGTTTTTCAAATGGAACACTATGTATATTTTTCGACGATTCAATAAAGCTGTTTTTTCTGCATCCATTGATACCAACAACATGCAAATTTGGATCGAAAATGATTGAGTTATTGACGATTTAAATTGACGAAAATACTCATATCACATAATGGAAGTGAAATTAGTGGGCTTTGAAAAAATGTCAATAATATTATTTATGCTCCATGGAGATGTCAATATATTGTTTTTTTTTTATTATTCTCTGTCTCCTCTGTCTCTTTTACAAGGATCTTTTTCTGTCGACTCCTCATCGATCTCTCAAATTTCCTCTATTTCATCTGAACTTCTCGAATATTGAAGGTATTCCGAGAAGGAAGTGGACGCTCTCCAAACCGAAGCGCATATTCTCTACAAGCAGCGGTTGCATTTTTTCCACAAAAAAATGTATATTTCTAAGATATCACATCTTTCATTCAAACTGTAGCCCATTTTAATTCACTCGTAACGTAACTTTTTCTCCAATATTTTTTTCATATTTTCAAAATCAAAGAAGCTAAGGGGAGATTCAATTTTAAGCAGCGCACCCCGTACGGTCCGCGAAACCTGCACCGCATGCGTAACCCGCACGGCCTGCGCAACTTCCAAGGACCGCGTAACCCGCACGGCCCGCATAACCCGCACAGTCCGCCGAGCTCATTATTATCAAGCGCGCGGGTTGGCCCGGCCCGTACAGTGCTCTAGCCAGTAAAGTAGCTGTTTTCTGTTAGATATTTGAAATAGTTATTGTAAAAATTTTTATTCTTTAATTTATTGTTAATTACATATTTCCAATATTTGAAAGATAGAAATTCAATATTCTGTGGTATTAGCTAGGAAAGTAGTTAGTTTTCTATAACAGAGCTCAGGAATCATCAATGATAGACAATACGGCTTTCGCCACCGAAGATCTACTTGCCTACGTCACCCATTTATGGCAAGCTTCATTAAAAAAACACGGGGAATCTCTAGCTGTCGCGTTGGACATATCGAAAGCATTTGACCGTGTTTGACACGAAGGACTCCTCCACAAACTACCATCATACGGCTTACCACCTCAGCTATGCCATCTCTTATCGAGTTTTCTTTCAGGCAGATCGCTTCATGTGGTGGTGGACGGTGTATCGTCTGATACCATTGGCATCAATTCCGGCGTTCCACAAGGATCAATTTTGGCACCAACATTATTCCTTCTTCATATCAATGATCTGTTGGGCGTAACAACTTGCCCCATCCACAGCTTTGCAGATGATAGTACCCTCCATACTGCGTTCTCGTCCACAATTCCCATTTCTTCCCAGGAAACTAAGAACTCACGGCGCAGGCATGGGGAACCAACAACCTAGTTGAATTCAACGCCACCAAAACTCAAGCCTGTATTTTCTCTAGAAAGGCGAAACTCTCTCCACCAAGCCCACCATATCTATGCTGGGTATTTCCATCAGCAACACTCTTTCATGGGATAATCATGTCAGATCCATCGCAAAAGCTGCTTCACAAAAACTCGGATTCTTGTTCCGTTCGAAAAGCTACTTTACACCTCAACAGCTTCTCATGATCTACAAAGCGCAGATACGGCCTGTTCTAGGATACTGTTCCCACATATGGGGTTCAGCACCAAAAGATACGCTGATGCTCTTAGATTCCATCCAGAGAAGAGCCATCCGCCTGGTGGGTGACGCCACACTCACTCACTCTTTGACATCATTGGAACACCGTAGAAAGGTCGGCGACCTTTCACTTTTCTATCGATACTTCCACGGGAAATGTTCTTCGGAAATCTCTGCTATCATCCCTTCACTAGCAATACCAATCAGACGAACTAGACAAGCCCAGTCAGCACATCCTTTCGTTGTCAACCTCGAACGATGTCGAACAGCACTTTATCAAAACTCCTTCATCCATAGAACGGCTAGGCTCTGGAATTCATTGCCTGAGGAAGTATTCCCAACAACATATAATCTCCAGAAGTTCAAAAAAAAATCCAATACCTACCTCCTATCCCTATCCTCCCTAGGAACGCACGATGTTCTTTGAACATTATAGGGATTCCCTTTCGTGCGCTCCAAGCGATAAAAAAAACATATTATCATCCTGATCGATTAGCGAAACCGTGGATTAAATCAGAATAAAAATATGTGTTCTCGAACTATGAAGTGAACAACAAAGTAAACCAAGATTCTCAAAAATCTGCATTTTATTCCTGACTGAATAACCGGCCCTTAACCCGGCGTTACATACGTGGATAATTGTCGCATCAGTACATACTTGGGGTGTGACAAACCCCATTACCTGAAAAATTGAATTTTTTTTTATCATTTTTTCTTCTGATATTTTGTTGTTCCATAGTCTCAGGGGATCATCTAGGAACAATAAAAACACGCACGAAATAATCAAATAGGCTTTATTACAAGAAATCTGATATAAACTGAAAATGGCTTTTTTCTCATGTACCAAAAAACATACCGTGACAAAAAAAATCATGTGAGATTAAATGAACATCTCACCCCGGAATGAACATTCTGAAACTAAAATTTGATGATAATGAAATACAAAAAAAAAATGATTGCAGCTTGAATAACAGAAAGAAAAAAAAAATGATCCAAAATAGTCCAAAATAACAACTTACCTATTATGTCAAAATATAACGAACGTCAGTGGGGTTTGACACACCCCAGAGCACTCAAGTCCCGTATAATTTCACTCAGTGTCTACAAGGTACTGCAGTGACGTCGGAATTCAATGATGCGGACATATTTTGGAAGCTATTAGGAGGGGCGTACGCATAAGTTCACGTTTGGCATATTTTTGAAGCGATATTCGGCGGCTGGGGTCCATCAGACCCCACATATGTAACGCCGGGTTGAATGTAATTCTACTAATGAAGGGTCGCTAACAGCAAATCGTCCATAAAAGTTTGTTATTGAGTTTATCATTTTTAATTATTTTGATTTGGTATTGCACCAATGCATTTTTTATTACAACTAATACAGTGCATTTGCGTGATTCTAGATACATACCTCAGAGCTGTCATTATTCGAGGAGTCAGGAAAGTGGCGACAAGCCCACGAAAACAAAAAACAGATCCCTCGATCCTTCTCTAATATAATCGTAGATAGAGATATCAAATCTTCTCTTGCCTTCTCTGGTATTATTGGCCAGCGCTGCCCAGAACTGGAATATTATATAGAAAGGGGATGAAATGTATCTAACATACTATATTGATGAGTCACTCACATTGTTTGTTTGGAATTACTACTGAGAGCTATCTTTACTTTCAATGCTGTTGCAAAATTACTCATTGTATTTCTCACTATGAGTTCATCATCTTCTAGTAACACCATAACAATGCTAAACACCATTTGTAGATCGTCCCCTGAAAATAACAAGCATAACAAAATCGTAGATAGATATCATAAGCCTCACAGAATTAAATAAAATAAAATAATGGTATAACTGGCAGCGACAGAATACCATGTGGGAGGTAACAGTATTATAGTTGAAAGTTTGAAAAAATTTACAGCAGATTTTCGGAAAACTAACTCTTAAACCCTGGAAGTCTACCTTTTGGAGATAAGCAGAAAAAATTAAATATCTCAAAAACTATTAACTTTTGCATAATGCATATTAGGGTTAAATTCACTCCCTACCACCATCCCTATCACATCACCAAAGAAATGAATCGAATCACCAGTAACCCTGTATAAAACAGTCATATTATCTGCTGCTTATCATTTATAGATTAATCTAAATTTAAAACCAACACGTCAAAGCCAAATTAAGCGGAAGGCAAATTCATAGAAAGACAAATTATGAGCAAATAAAGAAGAAACTTCTAACAGGAGCTGCATGACCTGGAGATTATATTTTTCCATGAGACGTTGGAATGTTATGATCTGCGACTCACTTTACCAATACCACTGAAATGTGAAATCACGAAAATTGAATGAAAAATTTTACGAAGCGGTATCAAGAAATTCTTTCTGATGGTTCATCTGTTATTACTTCCGGAGGTGAATTAGCGATGTGGAAAACGAAACCACAACGGGAAAATTGTGACATTTTACCTACAGACGAATTTTCAACATTGGTCGTATGTGATTATTTCCGTCCACGAATTCATTAGACAAGCCATGGTTTCCAGAGTTTCGTAGGTATGAGATTCAAATTTAGGCAGGGGTGAATTAGAAAATTCTGCAATTATTCATACTCTCCCATCACTTCCGGTTTCACATGAAAAGATTACAACTTTCGATTCAATAACTACCTTCTCTCCCTTTCTTTCTTAGGTACGCACGATATTTCTCAAACCTTATAGGGATTCCCTTTCATGCACTGCAATTGATGAAAAAAAGTATGAACCTAAAGGACCCCGCACGAAAACACGGTAAATTGGCTCTCGGTCGAGTTGGCTGAAATTTTACTATGTTATTGTGGGATGGCTCATTAAAAAAATATGTGTTTGAAATTTTTTTATGTTTAGTTTCTGAGATATAAGCCGAAAAAGGATTGACGAAGAAAAAAACTGTTTCTTTAGTATAAATAAGACAAAATAAGCTAGGAAATGTATTGATCGGAACTCAAATACATGTCTAGTTATGATCGCATAAATTATAGTAAATCAGGGTGAATACGAGGCACGGTCAAAAAATTCATTTTTCGGAAAAAAAAATTCGATCACTATTCCAAAACCAACAAGTTATATTTCGATAATACATTATAGTTGTAGTCTATTGTAGGCTTAGAAAACGTATTTTGATTCTTGATAATTATCTCTGTTCGAAATATGAATTCTTTGAATTTTGTGTTATACCCCTTTTGGAAAACAATTGACAGCTTGTTTTTGATCACAAAGAAAGGAATTGATTGATACTGTTGATTGAATGAAAGGTGAGGTAACTCACTAGAGAATTCAGTTGTTCAATATTGCCTTTCATTTGAATACAGGGTGTGTTAGATTTTGTTGAAGATCATTTAACATGTTTCAATTGAATATCTCGAAAACAGTTTCGTTAATTCGGATCTCATTCTACTCACACTATTTTGAATATGTTGACTATCATATGCAAAAAGTGTTTCAATTTTTTATGTTTCGTTTCTGAGATATCAATTTTTGATAGTTTTATCCGAGGTAATAACCCTATAATACCTGTAATACTGTAAACTCAAAAAAGCATATCTCAGAAACGAAACATAAAAAATTGAAAAACTTTTCGCATATGATAGTCAACATATTCAAAATAGTGTGAGTAGAATGAGATCCGAATTAACATGTTAAATAATATTCAACAAAATCTAACACACCCTGTATCCAAATGAAAGGCAATATTGAACAACTGAATTCGCTAGTGAGTTACCTCAGCTTTCATTCAATCAACAGTATCAATCAATCCCTTTCTTTGTGATCAAAAACAAGCTGTCAATTGTTTTCAAAAAGGGGTATAACACAAAATTCTAAAAATTCATATTTCGAACAGAGATAGTTATCAAAAATCAAAATACGTTTTCGAAGCCTACAATAGACTAAATCTATAATTTCCCACCAAAATATAACTTGTTGGTTTTGGAATAGTTCTCGAATTTGTTTTCCGAAAAATTAATTTTTTGACACCCTGATTTACTATAATTTATGTGATTATAACTAGACATGTTTATGAGTTCCGATCAATATATTTTCTAGCTTATTTTGTTTCATTTATACTAAAAAAACAGTTTTTTTTCTTTGTCAATCCTACCCCGATACGACGTTTTTACGAACTTTGTCGGCTTATATATCAGAAACTAAACATACAAAACTTTTTAAACTCACATATTTTTCTAATGAGCCATCACACAATAACATAGTAAAATTTCAGCCAAATCGACCAAGAGCCAATTTACCGTGTTTTCGTGCGGGGTCCTAATTATCAGGCAAAAATTTTAAAAAAATAAACAGCGTCTTATTTCATTTTGAAATCCATGCATCTGCCGCGCGCCACCTTATACAAATCTTACGACTTTTATATAGGTTATTCAGACTTTATTGAAATATAATTCATGTAACTGAGGAACTATAGTACTAGTTCGAGATTATGTTCTATCTTTAGTTATTTTTTCTGTAATTTGATCATATTGGCTAAAGAAACTATCAAAAACCATTATGAGCGGATACAAAAAACTAAATAATGATATCCAATATTTAAAACCGTTTTGATTTCCAAGTTAGGTGAAAATTAATATTTTCTTTGAATAGCTACTAAGGTAACACGCGAAAAGATTTCATTAAGCCGGTTGTGACAATCAAAATTGCATCTTTAAACAAAGCATGTAAATGGATTTTGTGTTGCAATCTTTGATTTCTTACGGAATATTCTACAAAAAAGTACCTACATAGTGTATTTCTAATCCTGAAAAAAGAACCATTTTTTCTCAGATTCGATTTACACATTGGTACTTACCAAGCAGAATGGGATCTTCGTTGCAGTACAAAATATAGTTTTTCGAGAGGAAATCACAGACAGCTAATCTTCTATAATTACTTGCAGCTGGAGATGCAGATTCAGCTAGAACATGTATCAGTCGATTGTATTGCAGAACATTGTAGTCCAGTTGTAACAAAAAAGTACTTATACAACTAAGCACAGCACTAATAAGCTCTTCATTATCACAGTCACAGTAATGCAATAAAGTGTTCAATGTTTCTTGTTTGCTCAAGTTAAAATATTTGATCACACATGGGTAATAATTCACTAAGAGAAATAGCAACACTTGGTCTTCCTTCTTTATATGCCGTTGATATTTGAGTTCTTGCATAAGAAAACACTTCAGATTCTGATGAAGATGTGTCAAAATTTTCAGAATGGAAGATTTTTCGAAACAGTCCGATAGAATTACTATTTCTGGTGGAATCTGCATTTCTTCGGTTTGGTATAATGCATGCTTATAATCATTTTGAATTTGGTTGAAGTAAATCAATAGATTCAAGCAAAAACGTTTTGTCTCCATGTTGGGCCCATATAATTGACTTATTATTAGATTGGTGACAGTTGGATATGTAAGGTCACTTTCTTCAAACTTATTTATGACAATGTACAAAAGTAGCAATATCCTTGTTTGGCAAAACTTGCTCATCGCAGTAACTGGAACTTGATTCGATGACATCTGATTCGAGATAACGTTCAAAATTGTTTTCAGCATCTCAAGATCGTCATAAGTACCATACCTGTAAAAACATACTTGATAAAGAGATTGATTCATTCAATTACTTTTATCTCGCTATTAAAATTATAAAGATGTACATATTGACATTCATACATACAGTGTGTTACTATTCGGCCCACCCCACCTCCACCCCTGTCCTTTCGTATTCCTAGGGCGATTTGAGGTTTTTTCTCTCATAATATACTCCCAACAAAATTATAAAAAAAAATTTCTAGGCCTACTGTGATCACAAAAACACCAACGAAATTAAAGAAAAAGGAGTAGGTATTTTTTTCAGAAATTTTGATAAGTAATGACAATTCGGACTGGTCACAAATACTCCCATATCAATTTTCGAATCAATATTTTTAGAGAGGTGTTTTTTATCAACGTTATAATTTTTCAATAACTCCATTTCTCAAGTCACCGTGTATTATAATTCTTATAAGAATTTTAATGATACCAGGCATCAAGTTTAGATAATCTATATACAGAGTCAGATAAATAACGAATAAAATCACTATAAATCTGAATTTTCTATCAAAAAATGAAGAACAGAAGACCAACTAATATCAATCGAAAAATAATATGGAAAAATTTGAAAAAATAAACAGCAACCATTCCTAACAAGTTCAGATTTCTGTTTTCTCGATCAAATCCCCTTCATTATCTGTACACTTTTCATAATCATCTCTTTCGCACGTTATTTTCAACTCTCCTCAGTTCTTCTGGTGGTATCTCTCCGCAAACTGTTAGTATTCTTTGTCGCAACTCTCCTATATTTCTTGGCCTGAATTTCTCACTCTGTAGCCAGATGATCTGATCCTGACTACCATCATGTCTGATATTATTCAAATTCTCGAAAGAATTATAATGCACGGTGACTTGAAAAATGCAATTATTCAAAAATTATAACGTTGATAAAAAACACCTCTCAAAAGATATTGATTCGAAAATTGATATGGGAGTATTTGTGGCCAGTCCGAATTGTCATTATCAACATTTCTGAAAAAAATGCCTACTCCATTTTCTTTAATTTCGTTGGGGTTTTTGTGATCACAGTAGGCTAAGAAATTGTGATTGATAGATTTTTTTTGCTCGACGAAGTAGATAATTTTGAGGATATTATGAAAAAAAAAATGAATCGTCCTAGTAATACGAAAGTACAGAGATGGGGTAGAACAAATTGTAACACACTGTATATATGGGTACTGTATATATGGGTACTGTTTTTATTATTGATTACTGTTATTGATGTTTTTTCAACAATGACACTTTGTTGCTGTCAGGTTAGGGTGTTTCAGAAAATGAATGAGGGTTAACATCTCCAGGCGCCGCTACTAGAAATGAAGGTCTACGTCTATGTCAAAATTCCCCAAATTTTGTTGGCTGGCCCTGAAGGCTGAGGCCTGTTTTTCCGAAAATTTGTAGAAACTGTGGTGTCGTATATTAACGAATAGAAAATCTCAAATTATGGTTAGGCTTGGGTTTTTACTTCCAAAGTTAAACTTTACACGCAACTTCTACATTAACGGAGAAGAATATATCCCGAATCTTTCCTAAGTGAAAGCCAAATGAAAGGAAATAATTATATTATGTCGTCCCAGTACCGCGATCTGGTTGATAATCAAAACATGTTAGCTCTTTGAATAGTTTTCAATGATTTGGAAATTATGTTTTGTAAATTCCAGGTAGTCTACAGATATAAATTATTCTGAATAAGTAGGAAGTCTCATTTCTCTTACACTTTGAAATAACTGAAATATTCATATTTTGAAATCGAAAGCAGATATTGAGAATAGTAAAATTCAAATTTGCCATGTTTTCCCCATAAATTGAACCTTGTTCTGCAGTCACATTTGAAAACAGGGCAATAGGTAAAGAAGAAGAGATATTCAAATATGTAACCTCTTCAGCAGATATTTTGGAAAAACTGTCTGGTTGGAAAGCCTTCTTGACTCAGAATAAGCTAGTTCTAGTGTGGGCTCTATTTCAAAGCCAAACTGCCTCTTCATTTCATCAGTCTATACTAGTCTATAGAATATAAGTATTGGTAGGTTTCACATCATTATGACATACAGTTCACTGTTATAGGTTGCTACTAACCTCCGAACAACAAACCCCTCGAACGCTACTACTGCAAAATGGAATATTGTGCACATTTGAACATCCATGCCATGTTCTGTTCTCTTGAAACCCAAATTACTTCAAGTGAAAAACTTGAATTAACATTTATCGAATGGCTGTTATTTGAATTACCAATCGGAGCAAACAGAATTTTACCTTAATTGAAGTATGTTTCTAGGATATCATCTCGTTCTCAATAAAATAAATGCTGTCAGAAGGGGCAGATGAAAAAATATTTCTGCAGAACGTCCCTACTAAAGGATAGTACAATGAGGGCTATCATTCTCACTCTCACCAGTTGGCGCTACTAAAACATGAGGTCAATGTCAAAGTCAAAAATCCCAAAATTTTCCTGGATAGCCCCAAATCATGTAGAATATTTGAACAAATGGAAAACCTCAAGTTATCAAAAGACGTGAACCGTCTTACATTTTTTGAAAGCTTTTATTTAACTTGCAATGTATGGATGTATGTATGTTAGTTCGGGTGGAATCTTAGATCTCAATTTTGGAGTAGATATCTTCAAGCAATCGAGCTGAAATTGTGTATACACGTTCAGTTTGGATGACAATGCACGATAAGGTGTGTGGAGTTATGGCGGAATAGTTATTTTTAATGCAATTCTACATTATGGGTATCAAATGAAAGGGCTCGTTGAGAGTAACTCGAAAAATGATGTGACGTCAATCTGGATTCAATATGGCGGACCATCCAAGATGGTGAAATAGTTATTTTCAATGCACTTCTACAATATGGGTATCAAATGAAAAAGCTCGTTGAGATTAACTCAAAAATAATGTGACGTCATTCTGAAGCCAATATGGCGGAGCATTCAAGATGACGAAATAGTTATTTTTAATGCACTTCCACAATATGGGTATCAAATGAAAGTACTTCTTGAGAGTAACTCGAAAAATAATGTGACGTCATTTTAAATCCAATATGGCGGACCATCCAGGACGGCGTAATGGTTATTTTCAATGCACTTCTACAATATGGGTATCAAATGAAAGGGTTTGTTGAGAGTAACTCGAAAAAAAAAACGTGACGTCAATCTGAATCCAATATGGCGGACTATCCAAGATGGCGGAATAATAATTTTGAATTTACTTTTACAATTTGGGCACCAAATGAAACGGTTCGTTGAGAGTAACTCGGAAAATAACGTGATTAGTAGGTCTCCTAATTGAATAGCTGGACTGTACGAAATTAACCAGCAGACCTTGCAACAATGATGCTTTGAATGAAATGAACAGACTGAGAATCCTAGCCTGCGAGAACTAAAGATTAAAAAATAGATTAAAGTTGAAAAAAATTAATAAAAAGCTTTTATTTAAACGCTGTAAAAAGAATAGAATAAAATGTTCCTTCATGATTTCAACTATCAACTTATAACCTCATTGTACACAATTTATATGATCATAAAAGCTTGTCGCACGATTTACTTGTGTGAATAAACTAGTACTAATTCAATTTTGTAAAATCTGTTAAATTAAATATTGATCATCGCGACATGCTTTTATGATCATATAAACTGTGTATAATGAGGTTATGAGTTTATAGCTAAAATTATAATGGAACATTTTATTTTATTCTTTTTAGAGCGTTTAAATGAAAGCTTTCATTAATTTTTGTTTACCTTCAACTTATTACTCTCAATGTGGAACTTTACGAACAATTCTCACATTGACGGAGAACATATTTTTTTATGTTCTGGTTTCCCACGAAAAGGGATATCATGTAATGTTCAGAGAACATCTTGAGAACCAAAGTAAATAAGGTTGGAATTGGTGTTCTATTCAAATTTCTGAAGGTTATATGCCTCGGGAACACCTCCCTTGGCAATGTGTTCCAGAGCCTCGCTGGATGAACGAGTCATTGGAAAGAGATGCTCTGCAGGTCTCCAAAGTGACCACGAAGGGGTGCGAAGCCTCAACTCGCCGGGTTAATCTCGCGGGGACTGCCAAGGGAGGAACAATTGTTGTCAGAACAATTGTTGATCTTTCAGAAGAGCATCGTCCATGAAAATATCTAAAAAAAAGAGCCAGATTGCCAACTTTCCTACGGTGTTCCAGAGAAGTGAGAGAGTTTTTGAGCGAGGCATCACCCACGAGACGAATTGCCCTTTTTTGGACATAATCCAACAGTTTCAGGGTATGTTTGGGTGCTGCACTCCAAATATGGGAACAGTATTCCAGGACAGGTCGGATCTGTACCTTATAGATCATAAGCAGCTGACTGGAAGTGAAATAGCTCCTGGCCCGAAACAAAAGGCCAAATGACACGAAAATAAGAAGTACATTTATCAGTTCTACCAACCCTGACCTCATATTTCGGTGGCGCGGTTTTGTGGACAATAAATAATGTTAGCCCTCATTGAACATAAGTACCAGTACTTACTTCATCAAGAAAAACATCACAGTTTCCATATAAAGAGAAATTGTCATGTGACTGTATTTACTTCCAGCATAATGTAGTATGTGAACGCTATTCTGAAGATATCTTGTTAAGGGAATTTCTGACAAATTATTGGATTTCAAAATGTGCAACACCTGTAAAATGATAAAAATAGAAAAACTGTGATTATTTTTATGAAAAATTTACCTGTAGTAAAAGTCCATGGCATTCATTATCTTTTACTTCATCTTCTTTCAATTTATTGAATATGTTTCCAAGTTGGTCACATACTTGATCAGTTTCAATGAATGGCACTGAAGCCCTAGCAGCAAGTTCTCTTGTTCTGTAAACTGGGTTCGAAAGACATACTGTTAAATGCTGAAGGTATTTTCCGATTTGTGTATTGTGCTCTTCAAAAGGCGATGGATATAATCTAGCTAATATCGTTAAAACTGGATGTAGAAGGAGACTATTACTCTTTTTACATTCTTCTGATAACTGATCCAGAAGAAACTGAAACAACTCTGGGTACCTCAAGAAAAAAATTCTCACTGTTAATCTATTTTTTATGCATACATCTTCCGAATCTTGTGTTCTTTGAACACCAAATATTCTGGTTATAAGAGCAGCGTAAAGAAGAGTAGATGAATTTCTTATCTAAAATAAATCATTATAAACATGGATTGTGATGAGTATAAACCAAGAATTTACCCCCCAAGTATCACTTTTGAAACCATTTATTGCAACTATTACGCCTTGGCCAATGTAACCAGAAACCATTTCTCCTAATCGACTGTGACGGAACATAGCTCTCAAAACATTCAACGAATGCATTCTATATTCTACATTGCTTACTTCAGTGTTTTCACATGCTCTTAATAATGATGTTATAACTTCGTGAAACCTTGTCTTATCAAATATTGGTTCCGAACTGAGGATCGACTGAAATTACCATCAATTAGAATTGAAAAAATAATTCATGAACATTATTTACTAAAATAAGAAATGGAAGACCAGCACTACGTCTTGTGGCACATAACTTATCAGATTGTGTCTCTCCTACACATAAATTTATGGCATCCTGAAGCCAGGCCTGTGGAAGACAATTTACTTTCGGGTTGGAAGACCTGAGGATTAGAAACGTTAATACATAAGTTAGATTATCATGCAAACAAATGATCTAATAATATTGAACTCATAGATATTGCCTAGACAGAGGAATTTGACAACATAAGAGTGAAACGTAAGTTGCAATAAAATAAGCTGAGATTAAGATCGTAGCGCCAGAACGGCGAATGTCGGTACTACTCATGGGCCATTGGCGGATTGTTTACATTGTACGGTAATGGTGTTTATGTTCATTTCGTTTTGAGTTTTCAAACGTTCAGCTTTGTTATCTGTCAATTTTCGAACTTTGTATTTTCCAGCGGTCTATTGTGTTTTGATTGAGGACTATATTATCTCTGTTCAACATTAGATAACCTCCCTACCTCTAGTTGAACTTCATATACAGGCTGATTCACGGTGGATGGCACATTAGACGTTTCTGGTGAACCAGACAACGGATCATTTTGAAAATTCGATGGAGGGCATATTCGGACATTCTCTAGCCAACTAAAATATTTTCGACAATGCGGTGTCGCCGCTTCTATTAGAAAGCAGTAGCAACTTTGATTTTTCAAATGGAACACTCTGTATTTTATTGCATTTTCAGATTCTCCCTGAAGAGCAGATTTCATCGATGTATCATACTTGGGGTCTAGCGGAAATGATTACAGAGATATAGGGTGTGAAAAATCGACATTTTTCAACTTTAGGAATTTTTTTTGTCGAAACTATTCATTATTGGTCAAAACGGCTCACATGTCCCTATCTCAACTTTTGATCAATTATCTACTTACATTTAATTGAAACAAATACAGGGTGGTGCAGAATTCAGAATCTTGATCACCCGGTATATGTCCCAATTAAATATCAGTAGATAGTTAATCAAAAGTTGATATAGGGACATGTAAGCCGTTTTGACCAATGATGAATAGTTTCGACACAAAAAAATCCTAAAGTTGAAAAATGACGATTTTTCATACCCTATATCTCTGTAATCATTTCCGCTAGACCCCAAGTGCGATACATCGATAGAATCAGCTCTTCAGGGAGAATCTAAAAATGCAATAAATACAGAGTGTTCCATATGAAAAATCAAAGTTGCTACTGCTTTATAATAGAAGCGGCAACACCGCATTGTCGAAAATATTTTAGTTGGCTAGAGAATGTCCGAATATGCCCTCCATTGAATTTTCAAAATGATCCGTTGTCTGGTTCACCAGAAACGTCTAATGTGCCATCCACCGTGAATCAGCCTGTATACCAACATACATAAGCTGTAAGTTTTTATCATTATTGAACAAAAATTCTCATGAAAACCTGTGTGGGATGTCGATTTCCAATTCGAATATATGGCTGGGATATTCCCCTGATAGCATGATATTTTTAAAAGAAACCCTGATTGATAAAATTCTTTACTGTTTAAAAATTCTACTGTTCATGAGTAAAGATATAATCAGTTTAAAATTTGTTTTTTTACCATCACCTCAAGAAGTATATAGGTATTATATTCATAATAGACATACATTTGGAAATATAAATTTTCAGTGTAAAAAACAATATCTCATTATGTTCAGACACTTTTTCCAATCTTCAAGTCATGAATCTACACCTTTCTCCTACCGATCACTTCCTTGTTTCCCAAATTATTAGTCTCAAATACAAATTCAGACTGTCCTGATTTTTGAAAGGAATGAAAGCTATACTCGGGATTTTTTTGCTCAAGATGAACAATCAGGTACACAACAATAATGACTCATGTTTTTAAACGTTTATAGAAGTTCTCAAACAAAATTATAGACAATTGAAACACAACTACTTCTCATACAAAATACACGCAAACTAATGTAAACAAAGCAATCAATGGCCCATACGTTAGTTATATTAGACAACGGTAGAGAGCGTACTCCTTAGCATGATTCGCCTATAGTTGGGTAAAAAAATCTTGTCACCATGGTAATTGCGATATTGCCAGTTATTTTCCTTCAATGTGAGTTTTTAGTGTGAATTTGTGTACTTAATGACTGGTGACCATTTCAATTCCATTCATTCCATTTATTCGGTGACCGAAGTACGCCAATCCATAAGTGTGTTAAAGCAAAAGTTATTTGGATTTATTTGACTAGCAACAATTTGAAATCGAATATTGATAGCGCATAAAGAAAGAAATGAATTCGTCAAAAAAGAAAGTAACGAGCTGCAACCAGCAGCTGAATAGGTGAAACACCAGGTATATGGAATCGAAATTTGGTAGGCTCAAATAGGTGTTGAACACCTACTTTTTAAAGAACTTCGAATGTTGTTATCAATTAAATTTACTTGGGAAAAAATCAAGGAGTTACCGCGACAACGATGAAAACGTGTGATGAAATGCTTATTATACTTACATCCAGAATGACTCACATATGACTGAGAATCCAACATAGGCTTGTTCAAATACACCTCTATGCTTGCTCTCAATGAAGACGTCTAAAAAAAACTGACCCACTTGGATCATCAAGTCATCTGCAAGCATCTGAATAGAACTCTCCAGTTTTATACTCTGTCTAATGATTTCTGCTAGCATCAGAGTCATTTCTTTCATTGTCCTCCAAGAATACACCAAAACCATCTGAGCCCTCGATGATTCATCCGATTCACAAATTATTTCGCCTGACTCGGGCAGGTACCCTTCTGGAGAAGGGTTACAAACTATGGGCATAATACTGTCCTTCAAATTGAGACAGATTGTCGTTAAATGTTCAAATAGACCAGCGTAGGCATCATTGCTTTTGCTGAAACATGAAAATAAATGGTGTTTCAATTGATAGTTTTTTGAATTGAATTCATACAAGAGAAGTAGTTTTATGTCAAAAGTTTGAGGTTTCCATACGTTTCAGTAAAACGTTCAAAAACTCATATACAAGCTGTCCCCTTATATTTCGACCCCTACATACAGCTTCAACTATACGAGGTGAAAATAAACTTCAAATATGAAAGTTGTAGGGTTTCATCTGTACTATCTTGCTCAATATAAATAATACATAAATAAATAAATATTTTATTAGCCATTTTGGTACAGTGTGTACATATGGTAAGTCATCTTATATCACATGGTAAAATAAAACCATGTTGTAGGTCATTGAGTATAAATAAAAAAAAATACAAATATATGTATAACAAAAAAAACCATAATGAGATATCACAACACAAGATACATATCAAAAGTGAAGACAATATGTGCATTTATTTCAAAAATGTTCCCTTGAGCCCTTTTTGACTAAATTCTTGCTGCACTACTGAAATTTTTGCAATATTTTCATAATGTAATCTTGATATATCGAAGACTGGAACCTTTGGCACTATAAATACACTACACTGTTTTACCACTAATCAAACCGATTTTTTATACGCCTCTACCTAGTATACAGGGTAATGCAAATTTCATGGTTTACTATGGTTATATCAGAAAGGGAGAGATGCAAACCAGATTAAATTACGAAAAAAGTGCGCCATTTCATGACTATCTCGAATATCGAAATGAATCGAGGATATCTTCTACATTTCCTGAAATATCCTGAAAAAACTGAAAACCATCGATTTCTTAAGTTATCAATAACTTTTCAACTATTACAGCTAGAGTATTGAAATTTAGTACACTTACTGAAGTTCGCATGCTAAGTTCAATGGTGACATGAAAAAATTTCTAGGCACACTAGATTTGAAGATTTCGAAGCCAAATTTGATTTTTCCAATGGCAGTCATATTGGATTTTCACGAATTTCGAATAGATCATAAAATTACCAATTCATCGATGTATCACACTCGTATATTCAATTCAAGAAATATCAAAATACAGGGAAAATTTAAAATAACAAGATGATGTGAGATCTGCTAAGCTTACAATTCCAAGTTTTTTCTCTGAACAAGAAAACAATAAAAATATTGAATTTTTGAGGTGCTCGAAGTGACCCCCACCATTTTCTAGATAAAGCGCAACTCGACTGCTAATGTCATTTCCTGTTCTCCGTATAGTTGCCTACTGTATTGAATTGATTGTTTGTATGATTTGTTCTCGCAAATCTTCAGCGTCGCTAATTGTTCTGGAATGAACTGTATTTTTCAAATATCCTCATGAGTAATAATCTAACGGATTTAGGTCCGGAGATCTAGCGGGCCATTGCACTGGACCGTTAGTACCAATTCATCCTTGTCGAAACATTTGACACAATGTCTGAGAAACCAATGCAGCGTTGTGGGCAAGGGCTCCATCTTGTTGAAACCATATTTGACAAATTTGGTAAATGGGAAATTCATCCAATAAGGGTTCAATTCTATCTCTCAGGAGATTTCTATAGTTTTTTCCGTTCAGGCGATCTTCAAGAAAAAATGGACCCAGAATTCAACCATTGAATATGCCAAACCCAGACGTTAACCGAGAATCTTATTTGATGGCGTGATTCTTTCTTGAGTTTTGGGTTTTTTGTGGACCAAAAACGTTCATTGTGACGGTTGCAGTGGCAATTATTTGTTCAACGGAAAATCTATATCATCATTCATCCTATTCTGTAGCCATTTACAAAAAAAAAGGTTCGCCTGGCAAAATCCTCCCGATTGATTCCTTGCACTACATGGTAGTGATAGGGATTGCATTTTTGTTTCTTGAGTATTCTACTAGCTGTAGATTGATTGATATTATATTGTCTTGCAATTTCATGAGTAGATATCTTTGGATTCATGTGGACTTGTGCTAGGACATTTATAATGTTGTAATTCAACTCTCTTCTCATCCCGTACATTAATTATCAATTTTTTTTATGAAACAATTCATACATGTATATCCATATCTCACCTTGAACGCCTTCTTCTGTGCTACCCTTTGAAAATAATTTCGTGAAGGTTGAATTCGTTCAGGGTATAAATTTTCATACATTTGACAAGCTTGCGTCGAATTTCGAAAACAGCGAATGTAAACATCGTACATATCACTCTTTTCTTCAATCCTGTAAACGTTCACCATCTCAACTCGCTTAAATGAAGATGAAAACAATGATAATTTTTTCGATCGTTAGAATGACAGTTCTGAATTTTTGATGTTATAACAATCATCTAGCAATATGAACTGGAAAATTTGACAGCAGCTTCCTTGACTCTGATAATATGTTTTCCACGATAAAATCGGAATTACACATCAGCTCGCGAAAATATTATTTGCAAATAGACCTACGGAGACCTCTGTCTATTGTATCATTCTACTATGACACGAATACAATGATTATTTCAACACCATCGATGCTACATCATGGATTTTACTTGATGTTTTCATTTTTTTCTGTTTTTTTCCTACATAAAACATACAAGTGTGGTACATCGATGAATTGGTAATTTTATGATCTATCCGATGGTGTGAAAATCCAATATGGCCGCCATTGGAGAAAATCAAAATTGGCTTCGATATCTTCGAATCTAGTGGGCCTAGAAATGTTTTCATGTCACCGTTGAATTTAGCATGCGAACTTCAGTAAGTGTACCAAATTTCAATACTCTAGCAGTAATAGTTGAAAAGTTATTGATAACTTAAAATGGCGATGGTTTTCAGTGTTTTCAGGATATTTCAGGAATTATAGAAGATATCCGCGATTTCTTTTGATATTCGAGATGGTCATGAAATGGCGCATTTTTTTCGTAATTTAACCTAGTTCGCATCTCTCTCCGTTTCTGATTTAACAATAGTGTACCATGAAATTTGCATTACCCTGTATAAGTACCGCAATATAATAAAATATTTAGTTTTAATCTTCTCCTGAAGACGCTAACGTAGTAAGCGAAACATGTGTCGAGGCGTATAAAAAATCGGTTTGGTTAGTGGTAAAACTGTGTAATGTATAATATAATCTTACTATCTCTTTTTATTCTCTACGGAATAGCCCATTTTTATTGAAAAACTCACAGAGATGTCGAAACATGCCTGTTTTGTTTCCATGGCATTACTGTCGTGTCCACAGCCATCTAAATGTTATTGATGGCAACTCTGATTCAATGCTGAATAAGTGGAAAATGGCACATTAGCAAACGGTATACAGGGTGTTTGAAAAAAACTACCCCCCTTGCTAGGGTAGGTAGAACACTACAAAATAAGTTGAGTTTGCTCAGTAACAAAATGTCGTAACAACATCCGTTTTCAAGATACAATGTTTCGTCTCATCGTAGGTATCATTTTATATTTATATTATTCAAACCATCTTTACCAGAAGAGTGAGCATTACCATCGTATGTATTTATTTAGTTATTTAGCCATTTTTGTTAAGTCACATGACGACCTTGTACGGACCGGGCCGCTTTTTGTGCCTTTCTGTATGTTCAGACCTCAAATGGATATAAAAACCAGAGGATCCTCGTGAAAAGCCAATTCCCACGACACCAGAGAAGCGATCAAGATTATCACCATTCATCAAAAACTCTTCGGTGAGTCGTTATTGTGACCTTTCCAAAATCGTGGTTGCGACCTGATAATTCTCAATCAAATCACTTTTCTGGTATTTCGATCTATTACGCAACATTTGGTCCTTCGGATGCCGGATAGATTATCCATTTGAAAAAACGAATTGCTATCAGAAATAATTGTCCGCCATATCGTCTTCAAAAGCCGGTAGCTTCAACGTTCCTCTTCGCCGGTAAAGTCAATCGTATTCATGTGCGAAGTCAACTCCGGCTGATCATCTGTGACGCTTTCGTAGTAGGTTCTTACTCTTACTTTCTCTATCAATATTATGTTCTTTCTTTCTCTCGTGCTTTCATATACTTTTGCTTCAATTTGGCATAACTGATACTACCGACAGTGTGTCGAACAAAATGGCTGATAAAATACAGAAGGCAAAAACTTTGCGCCAAATGGAAATATCTAGATTAACTGAATTATCTAAAGCCGCGGTTATTGCGCAAAATGACGCTGCTGAAATCAGAAAGTTTTCCATTTGGTATGAAGAGATCAATCAAATACGTGATGAATTTAATAAAGAACATGCCTCCATAATGGCTAAAATTTTCGCAACTGAGGCTGAAATGTTGACTGAAATCGGAGTAGTACATGGATTACAAATGTATTTTCTCTAATCAAAGTTATCTATGAAGAATTATTTCCAGATGATCGTGATACGAAGTTGAATACCAGTGTTAACAATACTAATATCTCCGACGTTTTACTTCCAAAATTATCACTTATATTCAAAGGTGACATGACAACATTCCCAACATTTTTAGATATGTTCAATGCCAACAACATTCCCAACATTTTCAGATATGTTCAATGCCGACGTCCATAGTAATCCATCGCTTCCAGAATTCGAAAAACTCAACTATTTGACCGCTTCCCTCGAAGGCGTACCTTTATCGATTGTCAAATGTCTACCTATGACGGCCGCAAATTATCAAATTGTCTACTGTCTACGATAATCTCAAAATCGGTACGAAAACCAACGGCTATTAGCTCAAGCGCATTGGAATGCCATATAAAATACATCTAAAGTCTCAGCTGAAGACCCACTGGCAATTCGAAACTTAGTAGATATTTTCGCTAAAAATGTAGGTGCTCTTCGAATTCTAGCACTCTCTTTCGATTCTTGGGATTCCGAAAAGCACTGCAATGCTCTGATGTCTGTCATACTGATACAGTAAAATTTGCTTTCAACAATTTCGAACAACTCAAACACTCATTATTTACATAAAAAAGTGTGTGTTGCAAAAATTAATTTTGGTCCTTAACGACACAGTAGAGTAATTGAATGCCAATAATTAATATTATTAATTATTTAATATAATTATAAGTCCATTCGCCCATTCTCTGTAATAGCATATAATAACTGCAGTTGATTCACCCAGAACAGTTATGGATGGGTTTTATTTGACAATGTGCAACTTAAAAGGACTAATAAATGAATACTATAATTCATTTAAGCTAAATAAAATCGATTATAACAAAAATCTATACCCAATTCATTAGCGTTCCTCACGATTACAAAGAAAATGTAGTGTAAGAATACAAGTGAAGGCGGTTCCTCAATGTAACAAAAGAGAAGGCTTCTGAAATAGCGTTTTATAACTCACCTCATGTCTCTAATCTGCAAAAGGTGCCTAATGCTCAAAAAAATTCCATAGTTTGCCACTTTCGGGTTAGAATAATCAACTTCAACGTTAGACTGTGCAATTAATTTACCAGTGAGAACTACAAGCATATCAAGAATCGGATCATGCAGATGTCGATTATCGATTTCACTGTTTCCAAACAGAATAATGTCATAGAAGAATGGGGAAGACGCGCAAACTTCGAGCAAATAAGCTGCAGAGAGCGTTTTATTCGGCTTGATGCCCAGGGCAATGTTGAGGCATCGCTGCATGTATTTGAATGTGAATTCCATGTTCTGAAACGCAAATGAAATCATAGCAATCATTTGATTAATGGAAACAATGGCAAAATACTCACAGTAAATCCAATGGACTCGGCAGGTAGATTTTTCAGTAACATCACAGACATCTTTTTATTGCATTCATAACTATCGAACAAAATACTATGGCAATTTTTTACATCTTCCTCTGACCAACAACTCAACCATTCATTTTTCGGCAAGAAGGTTTGAATCGTTACCAGTAATTCTAGACTTGTGGCTCTTCTAGGATAATTTGAGTCAAAAGTCAAATATGAAATGAGTAATTTTGTGAACTTATTGATGAAAATCTTGTAAGACTTCTCAAGTTCCTGATAAATAGTGAGTATGGTCAAAGCTTCTTGAGTGCCTTCGGTTGCCTCTAATCTCCTGTTGAGAAGACCGATATTCCTAATGATGACATTTAAACCAGCATTAAATCTTGCCAAAGCTTTTTTGTAGTATGTGAGTATTTGCTTACGAATGTGAGGTGTGTGTGGAGTTATATTGTAGCCAATGTAAGTGATCAGATAGTCCAATTCCCAGTCCAGAAAAATTTCCGTGGTTTTTTGACTATCCACTATAGCAGCTAAAACGGACACTCTTATCTGGAAGGTCAATATAACTTTTTTCTTCCATAAAAAAAACATTGAATTCTTACTTCGTCATTCTGATGTGTCATGAACATTTCTAGTTTTTCTTTATCTATGAGACCTCTCCAATACAAAACAGTATCTTCCTTTTTATCAACAGTTACTTCCATGCCATTTTGACGAGCATACTGCAAACATTTCAATAAAACACTGGACTCTTGAGTGTTGCCTACATAGTCATTGGGGAATCTAGAATAAGCAGAACATGTATACTTCTTTATGTCACGGTATAATATAACTATAACGGAAAGCTTTTGCAAAACAGGTGTTTTCTTGCTATTCAATTTTGTGAGGTGACAGTACCAACTAGTAGTTAGATGAAACTACTGCTGCATAGAAAATCAAACAAAATAGGTCCAAACCCATTTTCAACATAATAAAGATCTACAATTATTAAAAATTATATTAATAATTAATTTCCTACTACGTATTTATCTGAACTATTTTGCCAGCTAAATCAGAACTTCTGATTTTATAAGGGTTTGCGAAATAATTTGAACAGGCTCATTCTTTGATTTATATAAAAAATACAGGCTGATCCGCTCTGCAGTAAAAATAACATTGTCATTTTTCAACAAATCAGCACGTGATATACATATACCTAGTGATATATCTAAGGTTATAAGGTATGTCCCAAACGATAAGATTTCCACAGAATTCTTTTAGAAATCAACATAGGCAAAAATTCTGACATTTTACTTAACGATCAACTAGACCTCAATAATTCACCGCTGTTGATTTTGTTTTCTTAGTAGGAAATTGTTCGAATTCCATAAATGTTATTACTTTTTAGTTGGTTTGGCATCAGTATCAGTAGTGATCTAGATTCGATTACTCTGTCTGTTACCTAGTTACGGTTTCAATAGTTTGTTTCGAGAGAATCAATAAATTAATTATGACATTGTCTGTCAGATATTCTCGCTGAGTTTTTCTCATCATATCTAATATGTATGTGACCAGTTCAATAAAATAACATAAAAATACAGTCCATTACTCAAAGAAAACCCCACTCAACAACAATCCCCCACATTTTGGTCCTTCGCGCCGGATTTGGAAGAGCGATTTACGGATCCATTGGACTGGTGACTCTGCAGCAATATTCACGTTGCACCCCAAGATTCCCAAGAAGTAGTCGGAAAAATAATCCCGTAGCACACTCAAACAGCTTATTCAAAACTCCCATAGCAACATCCTTGTTGCACCCCCAAGAAACTCTCGCAGAAGAATAGCTGCAATTGAATCCCGCAATCTCGCCTCGCTGATTTATACCACATAAATTATTGTATGGTACACATGGACGGATGACAAAGGTTAGATCTTTCCATAATAATTACATACCTCGTCGATTCTCCTCAGTTTGCTCTAATTGAACGGCATCGACATAATATATTGCTCCAATAGTAGACTCTTCAGATTCATAGCATTTTATGAAAACTAGTGAAAGTGCGATCAATTTATCAACTATTCATTGAAATCCCGTATTGTTCTTGTAAAAAATGGAGATCTTAAGGCTTCAGGCGGTCTATCTCTCGTGTTTCCATCCAAAACAATGTGTTATAAAAGTGTAGTATGTCATGGACAATTGACAGTATTTGAATCTGAACGAAAATCAATTCGACATTTTTGTCATATTGAATTTGTTTATTGTGTAATTGCATTTTGAAGTTTCAATTGAGTGAGTATTGAATATGAGCTGCTACATTTTTAGGTGCTACATCTTATTACCGATAATTTAAGTCGAATGAGGTTTTAGTTAACTACCTTGTCATTCGAATTTTTTTCAAGATGTCTCCCCGCCGACATTTTTCCAGATAAAGAACATTTCTAGATGCCAATAGAAGCAATAGATAGTTGAAGAGTGCAAGTTGATAGCCATTTACATTAACATTAACATCCGCCATTTTGTTTTGGATGAATATTTCTATCTGAAATTCTGGTATCGCATAGAGAATTTAGAGACATTTCAAATGAGGTATTACTCGACCCCTCTTTCAAATGAAATCTTGAAAAATGGTGCCGAACAGAGTATCCCCAACCGTTCAAAAGTTAATCAGGGGAGGTACTTTATGAATACAGTGTGTATAATAAATTATTACAATTGTATATGGGAAGTATGAAATTATTGATAATTTCATGCAGTTTTATATACTGGGTGTTTATGGAAAGGAGGCCAACCCGTTATTCATATCTGGTGACAAAGAAATCATTGGACAGGGCAATATTCAGTTATTTTTTATGTTGAACATTTGACATTTGGATCGATAATTGAGTTTTTCAAATCCAGGGTTATTGTATATCTATAGGGACAGGGTTATGGCATAACCACTATCTTGAATTCCTGAAATTCCTTTCTGATGACGTCACATGAAGGCAAAACAGAATAGCCAACCTTGGAATAAGTTAGGCGTTTTCGATTCACTCAACTTGCTAAACTTGTTTTGTTTTTATGACTTTCTCTGTTTACATCTTGCGATGAAGAGACATAAAAAAAGAAGAAAAAAGTCAACCTCAGCAAGTTCAGCAACACAAATGAACCGACCTATTATATTATTTGAACAGATTACAGATATCAATATGTTAGGGTTAGAGTTTCCGAAAAATAGACATGATATTTTGAAAAAGATAATAGATTTCGACTGGAACACCGAATGATGAACTAAAGCATCAAATTGTTGTTGAAAAAGAGTACAAAATTCTGTTTCATAGGTAAGAAAAACTACTCCTTAACTGGCTAACAAAATTTTCGTTTTTCTGAACTTGTTATACGCATAATGCTTCATAGATCCACCAGAGTGTATCAATCGAAAAAAATATAGAATCATACACAAAATCATTATAAATATTTTATACATACATTTTCAAATAGTGAGAATAATTAACAATTTTGTCATTTTTTGATGGCGGCTCTCAGCATTCTAGCAGAAATTCTATCATTATATTTTACCTTTTCTTTCTGAAGTCTTTTCTTTATTTTCTTTTGGAAATTATCTGTTTCTAGATGAACAGATCAAGTTCAAGATATTGGGGATTTTGTGTTTGTTGTTAATTGAATGATATCAAACTTTATAAAACATCAACTATTTAGTATCGTTACATAATAATAGGTTTATATTGTCATCTGTTTTTTAATGAAACAATAAAAAATCAATTCCATTTTCGAGTGTTCTTTCATCTGGTTATGGGCCCAGATCAACTTTAAGAAGTTTCATTTCGTTTTCAAGATATTGATACCGTTGTTTGCATCAGTGTTGTCAAAAAAAAAGTTGCTGAAAGGAAGAGCAAATTTTGATACTTGGAAGTTTGCAGTACAAACTTATCTGGAACACGAAGAATTATGGACAGCTGTGAAAAAAGAAGAAACTTGACATCAATTGTCACACCGACACTGGCAATTCATGACATACCGACACTGACAATTCTCGTCAAAGTGCTGTCAGAGAAAAGAAAATGCCTGACAGATTCAATGACTATAAATTGTATGTTGCACAAGAAATAGAAAGTAATAAAGACGATCCCAAGTACTTTGAGGAAGCCATCAAGGGAAAAGAAGCATTGTGGAAGAAGGCAATAGAGGAGGAATATGGATCACTTTTGAAGAATCACACGTGGGAAGAAGCTGATTTACTACCAGGGAAGAATACTTTAGATACAAAGTGGGTATTCAAAACGAAATTGGATGCCAATGGTGACATAAGGGTTCAAGCAAATAAGAGGCATTGATCACGATGGAGTGTTTGCTCCCGTAGTCAGATACGAATCTGTGAGATTTCTTATAGCCTTAGCTATCAAGCTTAATCTGAACATCGACCAAATGGATGCGATAAGTGCATTTCTTCAAAGTGAGCTGGATGAAGAGATTTATATCAATCAGCCAGAAGATTTCAGGAATGGGAAGAAAGTTTTATGGTTGGAAAACTCAATTTTTGGACTGATACAGTAATCCCGAATGTGGAATATGACATTAGACAACGCTATAAACAAAGTAGGATTCACTCAATCTCATTACGGCCCATGCCTTTATCACCAAATTTCAGATGAGAAAATCATGATTTTGGCAGTATATGTTGACGAGAATTGAAAGAAGAAATCAACAAAAAGTTGATGGAAAGTTTTCACATGAAAGATTTAGGTCAAGCCAATTTGTTCCTGGGATTGAGAATAACCAGAAAAGATAATCAAATCTATATCGATCAACAACAGTACATCGAGAATATGTTAGAAATATTTAATATGGCCAATTGTAGTGTATGTTCAACTCCGATGGACTCGAATCAGAAACTGAGTAAAGAAATGTGCCCCAAAACAAAGGAAGAAAAGGAGGAAATGATGGAGATACCCTACCAAGAATTGACTGGTAGCTTGTTAAATTGTGCGCAAGTATCTAGACCACACATCATTTATGCTGTAAATTTTCTCGGTTGATACAATTGTAATACAGAAAAAAACTCATTGGACAGCAGCAAAACGAATTTTGAGGTACTTGAAGGGAATAATCACCAGAAAAATATGTTTCACCGGAACTAAAGATACAAATTGCTCACTAAACGGTTACTGTGATGCGGATTATGCTTCTGATTCGGATAAAAGAAAGTCAGTATCTGGTTTCGTATTCCTGTTCGAAGGTGGAGAGATTTTATGGAGTTCAAGGAAGCAGTCAGTAGTTGCCTTATCCACTTCAGAGGCTGAATACGTTGCAATTCAAGACGAACTTTCGTTGAGGGGCTTAGACAAAGAACTATCTCAGTAGAACGATTAGTCTTAGTGATAATCAGAGTGCTATTTGTTTAGCACAATCGAATCTGCATAGTGTTAAAACAAAACATCACTTTGTAGGAGACATTGTTACAAGTGTAGACATCGATCTGCGATACATTGGAACTACTGAAATGGTCGCAGATATTTTCACGAGGGCGTTTCCTTTGTGAAAATATCTGATGAAGAATGTTTATTGTTCCACTTTTCAAATGTTTTTTAATGAATATAAAACAACAATTCCAGTTAGGTAAGATCTACGTTGGGTTAGCTCTACGTTGGATTAGCTCTACGTTGGGTTAGCTTCACGTCGGGTTAGATTAGGTTAGGTCTACGTCGGGTTAGCTCTACGTTTGGTTTAGCTCTACGTTGGGTAAGGTATGGTCAGGTCTACGTTGGGATACCTTAACGTTTGGTTAGGTAAGGTCTACGTTGGGTCATCTCTTCGTTGGGTTAGGTGAGGTAAGGTGAGGTGAATGTTGGATAATCTCTACGTTGGGTCAGGTTAGGTAAGGTCTACGTTGAGGTAGCTCTACGTTGGGTTAGCCTAACGTTGGGTTAGGTTAGGTAAAGTCTACATTGGGTTAGCTCTACGTTGGGTTAGCAAATTGGAATAGAAAAGAAGACAGTGTTACTTCACAATGACATCGAGTTCAAGACGGTTTAACCTGAAATTTTTCAAACGGACGAGGTTGGTTAGGTCAACTGCATGGATAATTTTCGCTGTAAAACAGTTTTGCTTGCCAAATCACATACTCTCACACTGGAAGTAGAAGAAATTGAGAAAACATCCAAATTATGGATTATCAAATCGCAGTGTGGGAATCATTCAAACTGGAAATTCAAGATCTGCACGAGAAAAAAGAAATTTCGAGAGCAATTCGACTCCTTAAACTGTCAATATTTTTGGACAGTGATGGCATATTACGTATTGGAGGAAGGCTGCCCGATATCGACATTGATTATGATTCGAAATTCTCAACTTTTGATAGATCATTACCACGTTAAAGCTGTCGGTGTAGAAACAGTCGTGAACAACCTTCGTATGAAATATTGGATTTTGCATATACGAGCAGCTGTTAGGAAGGGTATTCGAGCATGCTAAAGTTGTAAAATAAGAAAGTGGAAGCCAATTGCCCCTGAAATGGGAATGGTCCAATAAATGTTTCAATCGGCCGAAGAATAGAAAAAAGATACGGAGTATTTATTATTTATATACCCTATTTCTCATTAATCATTCTTCCTAGACCCCAAGTGTGATGAATCGACGAAATCAGCTTTTCAGGGAGAATCTGTGAATTCAATAAAATACAGGGTGTTCCATTTAAAATAAGGAAGTTGATAACAATTCCGAAATAACCGAAAAACTGGCAACATCGTCGATAACATTTTCAAATCCACCACGTTTTGAAATCACCCTGTACAAATATTTAAAAAAATCTAACAAACGGTTACCGAGATATTCACCTGGTTCCACACTTTTGCCCAACCCTGTATATTAAACAAAGGACTATGAAAATGATGGAAGGAATTTGGTACATCTATATGAAAAGTTATGTTCGATCTCAAAGTAATTCGCGGTACATAGAAATTAATCAATGATAGTAATTCTGATGAGTCAATGAGATTGTGGACGATTTTGTAAAGGAATGTAAGGTCGTAGATATCTCTACGCTTCCTCAAAGTTGTCAGCTTGAATTCGTCTGATAGTAGCTGGTGATCATAATGAAGTACTGGGTATGTTCCATGTTTTTTAAAATATAGGAACTTCAGAAACTTATGCTGAATTTTCTCTATTGAGTCGATATATTTTTTCTGGTATGGATTCCAAACAGAGCTGCAGTATTCAAGCTTAGAACGTACTAAAGAAAAATAAACAGCTTTCATTGTTTCAATACAAGAAAATTCTTTGCTGTTGCGAATAACGAAGCCTAAGAGCCGAGCAGACTTTGATGTAATATTTTCTATATGTGGTGCAAATGTCAATTTCTTGTCGAAGATTACTCCCAGATCCTTACATTCATTTACCCGATCGATAATGATATTATTTAACGAATAATTGTGTTCCACCGGCGACAAAATTCTTGCATAGGTCATAACATTCAGAAACTTCAATTTTCTCGTCTGAGCTGACAGGAATATTTTTTGATAAATAGCCCAATGATCTAATGATTACTATGATGACACTATTACTATATTCATATTGAAAGGGATTTCAAATTGTAGCTGGCCCTAAACCTAACACAGAGAGTGTAGGACGACTATCTTTATATCCATAATATATTTAGTATAATTGCTTTCCCTACAACTTGTATTATGTGATGGTTTTTTTCCTTTCATTGCTATGTTTTATATAAGTAGAATAAACAGGTACTGTATATTATTATTGTGACTTGTCCCACCCTGAGATTATGTCTAAAGACGCACCTGCCCATGCCTAAGTTACAGGGTGTTTTATTTGGAATTCCAAAATTCGTTTGTGAAACTGTTTGACACATTATTATCAAATGTAAGTGTAGATACTATACCCCCTGCTAAATTATGTTAAATCAACGTTTCTGGGCTGAGAATGGTGGATTCTTACCAAATTCTACGCCACTGGCGGAATGAATTTCAATTCCATCACAATGATCAAATCCTTCTACACCTTCTACGTAAATCTCGAACTCCTCCTTCATAGTGATAGAGAAATTATTTTTCAAGATATCTCAAGTTAAACATGAACCTTCACAATTATTTTGATGTAGGTGTTTTGGGTTATTGGATTGCATTCATTAAGCAAATGTAGTTTGATCGGTATTGAAAAAAAAATCATATGAATTTTCAAATGAAACACCCTGTAGCTCAGACAGGAGACACATTTAATCTAGGATATATGGGTTAAATAATCATGAACAAATCACAATAATATCATATCACAAAAACTTTCTAAAAAAATAACATTTCCTACACAACTACTCAAAGAAGTACATACTTACATATCACGCAAAACAGGAGGGTGTAATTGAAAAGCACTTGTTATGATTTTTTGGCCAAGTGGTGTACAGTGAGAGCATATTTTAAGAAGTGATGTAACTGGAGAAACCCATTTGTTGATCCATTCAGCTCTATCACTTTCAGCAAAATTATTTTCCATAATTACTGTGTATGTTTTACAAACCTTGAAAAATGATATATGAGCAGTCAATTTCAATTTTATATTTTTTTATCTCATAGTACCTGATCAGAGATGGTAGGTTCTGATATTGAATTTAACAAGTCATCTGGTAAATTTGAGAAGTTTTCAAGAAGGTATTGACTTCTTAAATGTACAGCCATAATTTCTAATGCTAAGTACCTAGTAGGTTGATTGTTTTCTAATTGCTTCACATTAATTAAGAGTGCGTCCACCAAGTCTGTGTAACCTGGAACACGAAAATAATATCACATTTTCAATGTTATTCGAGAAGTAGTAGAAATTATTATACCTTCGTTCTTATGGTGAGCTGCTAGTGCCACCAATTCATCAAAAAAGAGTCTAACATAATTACGAACAGTATCAACGAAATGTTCTATGTGGTTCCAAACATAGGATATTCCTTCCATGAATAATGATTTAATCAATTCCCTTGGAACATGTTTCAGTTGTGCACTAACCATTGCTAGTGTCCTACTGATTTCCACAATTATGTGAGGAATACTGGTTTGGCTAAAAATACAAATTAATTTTATTTAAACACGGACTACCGTCCTAGGTACGTTTCTATGTGAATTTTCTTTATCGTTTTCGCTTTCATCTTATATACCTTGTTATACAGGGTGTTTCATTGGGAAAGGTAAATAATTCAACTGTGGATAGGGGTCACTGGGGTGATTTGAAAAAACCCATGTTTAATGGGTCTTCGACTTCTTATAACCGAGATACAGGATGTTTCATCAATTTTGTCCATATCTTCATTGCCTCATAACTTTCCAACCAACCTGTATATATTTTTAAAAATTGGTACACTTGCTCAATCTACCCTGTGGAATTGATTGAGGCAACAACAAAATATGAAATCCAGGTCCGGCTTCACTTAAAATTCACAAATTCTTTCTGCCAGAAAACAACAACCTATACATTCGAATTTCTCTTTTTGTGCCATATCTGAAAAGAACATCAAAATTTCTATTCAACGATGTGATTTTTAATCATGCACAGACGATTTTAACTATCCATATTATGTGCTACACCATTATATGGTAATTGGGATTTTGATAATATATATATGTTGACTGTTTTGAACTCAGCAGTCGTATAATAAAAGAAACCTCTGATATATTGGTGAAACCGTTCTCTACTTTGATAAATCTGATATTTTCAACAGGCGTTTTTCCTGATGTGTTTAAATACTCCAGGGTTATACCTGTTTTCAAAAAAGGTCAATCTTCTAGTTTAGATAACTATCGACCCATCTCCATAATTTGTATTTTTGGCAAAATAATTGAAATAATACTAAAGAGAAGAATCACTGTATATTTTGAGGATAATAATTTCTTGAGTGACAGCCAGTTTGGTTTCAGAGCGGGTCGCTCAACAATACACGCTCCACAAGATACTATTGGGAACATAATCGAAGGACTTGAGCAGAGGAAAATCACTGCACTCACTTTATGTGACCTAACCAAGGCCTTCGATTGTGTCTCCCATGTATGGAACGCCGTTTTATTTTTTATTCGACATGGACTGAATGTTCCATTTCAATGTTACTTATTTTTCATTCTAGTTGACATAATTTTAATAGAATAGTTTTTATTATCAGAATTGGTATTCACATTGTTAATAGTAATTTTATTACCTTAACGCATAGGACATAGCAATGTGAATGTATCCTGCCTATCAATTTCCATGGGAAATATATTCAATTTCATTATCGGGAATTGATTTCTATTTTGTCCACAAGCATTTCAATTGCAAATAGAAATTTGAAACAATATTTTCATTCTCGATTGAATAAGAATAATGTATTTTTATGGTACATGCAGTACAGCAGAATGTAATCTATAAAATTTTATATATGCGACAACTGTTCTTAACAAGTGGAATTAGAAAGCCATTTCGTTTTTCAATTCCAAGTAGAAATGTTGTTTTAATTTGAAAATAGAATGGAAATTGAATTTGTCCACATTTTCACAAATGCCATTGAAATGTACTACAATTTGAAATATCACATCGATGCTAAGAACAATTGAAATGTAAAACGGCCATATAGTTTTTATTCACAAAAAAATTGGATGTAAAATTCCACATTACCCTTTTAGTTGTATGACTTTAAAAAATGGCATATTGAAAAATGAATTTCTATTACACATGCATTTTTATGGGACATTGAATTATATTGCATCTGTAAGAAGCAAACTCTTCACATGCCATGAAATACAAGTGACAAAACAATTCAAGTAACATGGAAAACTACTGGCGCCCTCTCTGGAAAAGAGGACATTTTTTATTCTCAGAAGCGGTGCTAGATGGCGCTACTGTTTTTTTATATCACTTTGATTTGAATGTCAGTTACATTTCCATTCCAAGTTATTTTTTTTGCTATACGGAAGACTCGTGGTACCAACATGCAATGGAAATTGATGTGCCATAACATATATAATAGATACTTTTGTACTCGCATTCTCATTCTACTTTGATTTCTATGTAACATTACTTCTCATTCAACTTTAATTTTATTTCTGCTTTCATTTTTCTGCTACTTCAATATCCATTGCATATAAGCTGTCGCAACCGTTCATATGCAATTGAAATCAAAGTCCCATTTGGATTCGACTTAGTTAAAATGTCTCTTCGATGTCAGTGAGGCCAAAGTGTAATGGAAACGCAAGTGACAAAAGAATTGAATAACATTCGAATGCCATATGAATTTTCATGTTACTTCGATGTCAGCTACAGCAGAGTGTAATGTAAATGAAAATGCAAGTGACATAAGAATTGAAATGCATTCGAATGCGACTTGATTTTTATTCTACGTTGATGTCCGCGATCGCAAAGTGTAATAGAAATTCAACAGCCAAAAGAATCAAATAACATTTGAATGCGACTTCATTTTTATTCTACTTTGATGTCCGCGATCGCAAAGTGTAATAGAAATTCAACTGGCAAAAGAATCAAATAACATTTGAATGCGACTTCATTTTTATTCTACTTTGATGTCCGCGATCTCAAAGTGTAATGGAAATTCAACTGACAAAAGAATTATATCACATTTCAAATGCGACTTGATTATTATTCTACTTTGATGTCCGCGATCGCAAAGTGTAATAGAAATTCAACTGGCAAAAGAATCAAATAACATTCGAATGCGACTTGAGTTTTCATGTTACTTTGATGTCTGTGACTGCCAAGTGACAAAAGAATGAAATATCATTCTATTTTGACTTGAATATCCATGGCATAGGTATACAAATTCTTAATTGCAATGCGAATATTCATTCTTATTCTACTTCGATACCTACGACAACCAACGACACACGACGTATCGAAACAGAATGGAAAACAAGCACGCCGTTTCATTTTCAATTCTACTTGGCCTTCATGTCCCATTCGAATTAAGTTCTCAAAGGCGTACGAAAATATTTTATATAGGTAGGTGCCTATTTCGGATTGAAAATATTTTATTAAAATCATGTGTTCATTCCTTGATTGAGCAATACCTAGGTAGGCTACCTCCATCAACGGTTTATTGATTTTGAGAAAAGTGTGATATTGTGGGCGTACCTGCCAATTTTTTTTAGGGATAAATAATAAATACTGAAAACGGGAGCAGAACCGGTCCCGAAACGTCCAAAGATAAGTGAAAATTTGATATTTTTTCTATATACCTTTATTTCCCTTCTCCAAAAATTTTTTCAATACAAATTGTCACTGACAAGCTAGTGAATTTTTCTTTTAGGCTCTCTGATAGGAAAATTCTTTAAACGCAGTGACATTTTGGGGCAAATCATCTGATTTGTCCTTACTACACGTATATTGAAATAATATTCATATTTTTATTTTATAGAAACGAGGAGAGAAAATCCCAAAAAATTTGGAATAATGAATAAATAATAAAAGTGGAATTATTTTATAATCAAATATGAAAAATAGTCGTTACACGTGTCGAATAGGTTTTCGAGATTCGAATATATATATTCGCTGGGTAGATATGTACAGGGTGTCTCCTTATATTTCGACCCCTACCTACAGCTTCAACTATATGAGGTGGAAAAAAACTTCGAATATGAAAGTTGTATAGTTTCAACTGTACAGGGTGATTGACTATGTATTTCACGACTTTAACAGCTGATATATCGAAAACGAAGAAAGATATTGTAAATTTGGAAAGAGGTATACTGGAATGAGATGTCGTTTCTTTCTAGAAAATGTGTTCTCCGCTTGATTTTATCATTTTATATAATACAGGGTTTGTGAGAAAAGAATTTTTATCAAACGGAACCCCCTGTATATTATCGCATATTTCGAAAGAGCTCTCTTTCCTGATTTCGAAAATATTTACTTTTCATATATTCTATTGAGGGCTTGACGAAATATCAGCAAAATCAAATATTAATCTTTGGTTCAAGATTGCTATGGTTGAAATAGAATGAGATGATGAATAAGTGAATTGAGATTTGGTCAACAACAAAGAAGAGATATTTTGGAGTGTTATTTTTCAGTTAATAAAAATCTTGCTGAAACAGTTAGTAAGTATAGGAGGAGTTATCCAGACAGGAGATTACCGAGTAAGAATAATTATGTAAAGTATTTGACTGCTATATTTGACAGAACAGTTCGTCGAATATCATCATCATATATTTTCGAAATCAGGAAAGAGAGCTCTTTCGAAATATGCAATAATATACAGGGGGTTCCATTTGAAAAAACAAATTTTTTCCCGCGGAATACCCTTACCCTATTGATTTATTTATCACCATTCCACATCACCAGTATCACCAGAGCCAGTGACCAGTAATCGAGATGAATGATTTATCACAAATTATTTCATCAATAAGGGGTATACCCAAGAAACCTACGATAAAATAATAGGATTTTCATTATTATGCAATGGAATCGTCCTGAGACTCACGAGACTAAGGCACGACGACCCAAGGATTATTAATTTTATTATACGAAATCGTTGCGCACGACCACTACGACCAGGGTCTTTTCAATGAAGGTGATCCATTGCACCACAGTATATGAAGGGCCATACCGTTTGAATGTTCGAGATATTGTCAGCACATTCTATTTTAGTTCCACTTTCCTTCTGGCGTCTATGTAGCTTCCTGATAATTGCTAGGTTTGGATGTTTTAACATAAGTTTTCCCTGAATCCCTAGATCACTCGCAACATCTCTAGATCTAGAGAAATTTTCCCGAACCTGGCAACAGTGGCAACCTTGAGGCTAGGATAGCGCGAGGTGTTCTGTGGTCAGGGAGTGGTCAGGGGCAACCAAAACAAAGATAGCTTGAGTTACGGTAACCTGTCACTTTCTTACTCATGATGTTTAATGGCGGTTGGGTGCTGAAATTATCTTTCAGACAAAAATTCAGGTACTTTGGGATCTTATTTTTGTTCAAAATCCACATGAAAATGGAGACAAATATTCATTATATTACAGTCATAATATTATTGGACTCCATAGTATCGCTTCATTTGTCGTGTTTTGTTTTGATAGGACTGAA